GGGATCGGCAGCCACCTTATGCAACAAATTCACTTGTGCCAAAGCTTCTGTGAGGTCATGGTCTGTAGAACAAGGCTGCCAAGGCTGCTCAGGAGCAGAACTGTAGTAGAGAGTGAATGGATGCTTGGTATCAGCTGGATTCAGGGTAAAGAAAATGCGCGCAGCTGATGCCGCATCCGGCGGCGTGATGCATCTGTACAAGGTACCACTCCAGAAACGATGTCCACGCACCGAAGCACTCGCTTCATAGACTCCGGCGCCAGAGGATTGCCTGAGTGAAACAAAAAGGGCAGGAAGTGAAATGCAAGAGCAGGCATGCATGTCAACATCAGACGCCTTTTACTGTCTAGAAGGATTATATTTGCAGCAGGAGTTGCGCAAAGCCTCAGGGAGGCCACCCGAGTCGCCAAGGAGACGCAGGATCTCAGAGAAGTCAGTGTGCAGCAAATGTTCAAAATCAGCAGCAACTCGGAGGAAACCTGGAGTGCGTATTTTGGCCTGCACTGCTTGTAGGAAGTCTTTTCGATGAAGGACACCGAAAAGAACTGCAATGAAATCGATATCAAGACTCCAATGGCATTCTTTTGGTGCGCAATCCATGCGGAGAAGCAAGTGGCGTGCCCACGTCTGATCAAAGCATCGGGTTCGTCTGGCACCCCCTGCAACACCGTCTCCATATGGAAACAAATGTGGGAAACAAAGAGGCCAGTAGCCAAGGTCAAAAGATGACAAAGGATCTGGTCCATGTGGAACTATTGCGTCAAATTCTGCGGGCGCAGTTGGGGCCTCGACAGGGCGAAAGGCAGCTTGCCGTGGCAAGGCGCGCGACCACATTTCCATCGGACCCAGCCCCTCGCCTTCTGTATCTAAGACAGCGGCTGCTAAAGGAAGGTCAGGATGCGAGGATGCATCATCTGAGTGTGGCATCGGCTCAGAGGTGTCAGCAGCCATGACTTGGGCATCAGCAGGTCCAACTTCAACTTGCAGGATGCCAGCGTCTGCACTAGGCAGGAAAAATTCCGATGGAATGCCATCCTGAGGCAACAAGGCCAAAGTCTGGGATGTGCCTACTGTAGATTCGATAGCTTAGTGATCAAGTCCACTGTGGGAAACTGAAAACTTGAAGCAGTTGTGTACATTTCTGCATGTGGGTGGCGTTGGCCAACGCTTTCTGGAGTGCTGCTCTGCAGTCCTATGCAGGATGTGACAGGAGAGGATCTGTCAAAGGACAAGGTCCTATAAACACATATGAAAAAGGTATATAATAAAAAAGCATGCGCAACGTGGCATGGGTTTTATACACATGCACAAAATATCAGAACACAGCCGACGTCCAACCTCCAAGGACACCCTCCCAACAGTTTCAACGAGGTACATACGACCAAACCCTGTGGAAAGCAATTATAACTCTTGCGGATCAAAGGGTGTTTCCCTTGTTGATCAAAACCTCACATTTGCAGCAGCCAATATCTGTGCGCCTGTGGCAGTTCATCTGCCGCAATTGCTTGCTCGTCCCCTTGTCGGAAGACCAACCTCGCCAGTAGCCATTATCCTTATTCGCCAAGGATTCAACCGTCTGGTTGCAGTGTGGCCACTGACGTTTCAGTGCTGGGAAAGCTAGAGGACACTGGTTTGGAATTCCAGGGAGTTGCATGCTCTTAGGCAGACGACCGTCTTGTTCAAGTAGCCCTCGCACACGCTTGTGGGTTGGAGGAAAGACTTCGTACCCAGAGGGACTCGGTTTTCAGGTCAGTAGATATTCTCAACAATTATTATGCTTTATATTTTTACTGATTATATATAGTAATGTCATGGATACTCCAACTTGAATGCAGACGGCAGCACCGTTGTTTATTCGTGGGGTGGTCGGAGTTCATTCGCAACGCATTGCATTCGGGAGGTGCCCAAAAAGTCGACTTTTTGGGTACGTGCCTTGGTGGGGGCCGGTTGGGTCTAAGCCCTCTGGCAAGGACATGCTTGAAGAGGAGGAGGGCTGAGCATTATGGGGGTTCCCGCGCCAAGCAAGGACACACACACACACAATGTCTCTGCGTTTTTGCCACTCTGTGATTCATATCTCCAAGATACGAAGGCAAGGTTTCGCTGGAACTCCTCCGTCCGAGATGCCATGGCTGCAAACAAGAGCCTCACATATTAGGTTGATAGCTAGTCCTAACATAGGACTCTCAAGATACCAAAGCTATTTCCTCATTTGCTCATTTGCTCTTGCTTAGGCTGATGTCTTGCGTCTCAAGTCAAATTCTGCGGCACCTTGCTCTTGGAACTGTGCTAACCATGTAAACCCCTTGAACTCTTGAACTAAGTATGCATATACATGAACCCTTGAAAAAGGCGCAGCTCGAAGAGGCGTAGCTGGGAGTTGAACCGTGGGGGGGGGGTTAGCCTGATATTTCAGGCTTTAAGGCACGCAGCCCAGCACACCACATTGCTAAAGCAAAGAACAACTCAGCTAGCATGCTAGCTTTCGTGATTATAATTTTAGTTCCGATTAATCACGAAAGCGCAGCTTCGAAGCAACAGCCTGAAACGCAAACCCCACTGTCACAGCAACGTCTAACACCTCCAACATACCACCCGGTGAACGCCAATCCCACTGTCACAGCGAAGGAAACTGAGGATTTCACATGATTTCACAAAACACTGCACCTGCCCAGCAAAAAATCATCCTCCACACTTCAACATGACAACGCCTTGCGAACAAGAGTCTACCCCCAGACCCCCAGAGTTAAACGAGAACCCTGGCCCTTTGCTACCCATTGAGGAAAAAGCGAGGTCTTTGATGCACCGATTTTGTTGACCTTCGAAACCAAACGTTCACCTGTAAAATTATTCTACTCCGGGCTGTTTTGCTGGTTTCCACGACTTGCGAGCACACACGTCTGCATAAGGCCCTTGCGCGATGCGCAGTTGAAACAAAGGGATATATGACATGGAAATGGAAAACATATAAAAATATATACATCTAAATGTTGCTTGCTATTGTGATACAGGGCCGCTTGAAAAGAACCCGCACTTGAAGCAAAACTGGACACATTAACCGGAGACAGACCAGAGAAGATAAGAGTTACAGTACCTCCACAGGAGGCATTGCGGCAATACACGTGCTACACTAATACAAACAAGCACCAGAATCTGAATGCGCATCGGTGTGAATATGGGATCTGAGGGAGTTGTGGGTAGTACCACTACACTGCTTGCCTCAACGCTTTCATTATCTCCTCGTTGTTGCAGTTCAGTTGTGGATCTCGCTGTTGTCATCGTGGCTGTTGATGATTTTGCAGTTGGCAATCTTGTTGCGGCTTTTGCCCGCGGTTCTGTTGCTGTCGTTGCTGTTGTTGTCGCCATTGCTGTCACTGTCATGGTGGTGGTTTTGGCATCCTAAAAAGCTACTAAGCCTTCTTGCATCTTCTTGCTGTTTTTCCTATTGTGGGTGTTGTCGCCGATGCTGTCGTCGTCGTTGTTGTCGCTGCTACCATTGTTACGTACTTGCCTTGGTTGTCAATGCATTGGTTACTGTTTGTGGTAGCCTTTGCAATGGTGGAGCCTTTCACCTCCAAGTGAAGTGGGAGTACAGTAACCCAACCTACAATACAAGCCGCTGCAAAAGGGAAACAGACCTTGACCACACAGTACTCATGGGCTCACAAGCCTACAAACGAACAGGGTTGCGTCAAACCAGCCTATTGGGTGGTGGAACAAAAAGGCGAGTAAAGGGCCAAGAAAGAAGTGAGACCAATGTGAAAAGGGAAGCTTCTAGTTGCTAGAAAGCTTCAAATACCTAAAAAGCAACTTGTTACTACAGGACTCCCAGTGAAACGATTCTTTCAGATCTTTCAGGATTTATGCGTGAGGGGGTATCACCCCCGGCAGCCACCGGATGCCACCGCGGAGGCCACATCGCGCGCTAGGCGACCAAGGCATAGGAGAAAGGCAGTGGTGTGCTTCCAAGCAGCTCCCAAGAATCGGAAAGGTCCAGCGGATCGGTCGCCACGGGATCGGTCACCGGTACCGAAAAGAGAACAACATGCCGGATGACTTTGAAGCTATCTTTGTGTCGGATGTGAAAAGAGACGAAGAGAATCTGCTAGGCCGGAGGTGGCCATAAGCAGCCTTGTGTCCATCTTCGTTTTAGTCCTGAACAAGGTTCGCAAGCCCCAAAAGAAACCCTAAACAAGTAAAACAGTAAAACCCGCAAGCAAATTCCAAGGAATCTCTAAAGAAGTGAAGCCCCACGCCACACCTAGAAAAACAAAAAAGAAGCGAAGCTGACGAATGCGCACATTGGTTGTGGCAACACGTAACTATATTGATGTAACTAGATTCTGCTCATCTTGAGGTGGAAATGCCCTGCAGCAAACGACGACGCGAGTACCACAAACTCCGGACAAAGCACACAAACCAGCAGCCTGCCACAAGTCTGACCGTGCCAGCCGAAGGCCATGCAAGGTCCGTGCAAAAGTTCGCAAGACCGTGACAAACACAGACCTGCACCTAACCTGCAAGCAACTGGACACAGCAAATTAGAGAAATCAGAAACGCAAAGGATTCAGTGGCTGTAAATACTGAACGAAGCCCCATTGGTTGCTGATCCGTGGTCACTGATATGTTACTCTTGGTCGCTGATCTACAAATTTCTCGGCCAAATGCAGTGGGAATTTTGTGACACTTTTTCGAAAGGTCAGCGCGGTGCCCGCAAACCAGTGGCTGTCTGCTCTGGACAAGCAAGCTTGCCCCCCCTTCTGAGGCCGAAGTGGGGTGCGCTCTGCCCAGGTGTAGAACAAATGCATGGCGAGGATTGAGGATTGGAGACAAGTTCAAACGACGTCTTGCACAGTCTGAAGTCTGGAGCCGCGTTTTTAATGTTTTTCATTTTCCAAAGCTTCTGCCAAGTCCTATCCTACTCGACAAAAAATTCCTTCGGATGACCCTTTCTTTTGCCCGCTACAAGATTAAAATGGTAAAATGAACTGGTTCCGAACCTTCTGAGGCAGTACCTCCAGTGCAGCTGCAGCAACCTGAAGTCAATGCAAAAAAAACATGCCGCTCGCCATGAATGCCATGCGTTTATGCTGAGGTGCCCAAGACGCAGGGAAGTTCTGCGCGACAACCGCCTTTTCAGGTCTAGTCACATTCACACCATTGGAGTTTTGATGAAGCAAACAAACCCAAACCTAGGATAGTTCACAGAGTTCACATCTGATCTGCCCAATACCACATCTGGTTGCTTTAGGCCTTTCCGCCGCCTCCGCCACTTGCCTTGCTACACAACTCTGCCATACAACTCTCCAAGGATGAACGAATTCAACAATTGAATTGAGTCAGTGAAACGCAAACCTCAATCCCAAAAGAAGCACGACACAGGCATCCCATAGCGGATGCCAAATGTGGTCCCTTTATGCGATTTTGTGGTGGATACCCATCTTGCCAAATGCCCGCTAGTAAGAATAGTTGCATTTCACAGCAAACATCCTCACCAAGGTGCCGCTGACATGGGCTGCAGCTCGCGGCATGTGCGCGTCAAACGGTTTGCAGTTTTCCGTGACAAAAACAGCTGAAATTGTCTGGGCCAGCTTCTGTTGAAACCGCGACGGTTGCTCCCCGGCAATTGGACTAGTAGGGGTGCATTGTACACTCCTTGATCTTGGCTACGGAGGCCACTGGTTTTGCCTGATTTCAGTTGTTTCTTACCCAACTAACAAAATCGATCAACTTATAATGGCAACTTGTTTGTGTGCAACAGTGTTGGAAGGAATACAGTACAACAGCCGCACTCTGCCAACACTTGGGCACAATCTAAGTTATTGCGTCCGTCCTTCAATCAGCAGGTGCTCTCACAAAAAGTGTGCTGCTGTGTGGCTGCGTGGTTGACTTGCTGTCTCCGTACGGTGCCATTGCCTGACTTGCTCCACAGATATGCTGCAAATAGAACGTCAAAAAACATAACGATTGAGTTGAGCAAGGCCACTTTTGCACGGTTTGGGACACTCCAGTATGGAAAAACTAGCTTCAAAACAACAACCAACCAACAAACAAACAGCCCGTGGAGGCCACATCGAATGGACGTGTCAAAGAACGAGCCTCTCAAATCTTGCCCAGAAATGGCAAGGAAGTACAGCACACGCGAGTCACACAAGAACGTTCAAGTTAGCCCAATTGTCCGTCCTTAGCTGCAATGGACCTTTTTGTTCATGCTCTCAGGCCACAGGAATGTCAGCCGCCTGGCACGCTGCACCGCACTGAGCGGCACTGGCAGTCCTAAACCAAGGAAGCTTCAACTTGGGGACAACGGGACAATCCTATAGATTTTAATGTGAAAGTAACATCTTGTCCATGGTAGTTGGCATGCATGTTGTGACATGAATCAACTTCAGCGATGTTGAATCCATCTCCATTGAAGTGGCAAGCTGCCCGATTTTAAAACTCCCCAGTGTCAAGCTATAACATGCTATGGCACAGAAGCTAATGATAAAGAAAAGGCGGTCCGGCATTCTGGCGGTTGGGCGTGCTGGGTCTTGGGTGCTCCGTCCTGGTATTGATGGCATAGTTGCGCCAGCGCCTGCATGATGGCATCCTGTCACACTTTGATTGAAAGCACCCCAGTTGTTCCGATGTGCAGGTCGTGTCCTGATGTTGAATGTTGACTGGTTAATGGCATCTCGATCACAGTTAGATTCAGATGGTTTACTTTGATGGCGCTCAGGGCGTGTTTTGATGGCGGTGCCCCGCACGTTTTGATGGTGCCACGGTCGCGTTTGATCGTGGCATTTTCTTTAGCCATGTTGATCGTGTCTATATAATAGTGCCGTGGGGGTTTGATGACTGGCGCGCCGGTCAAGGTGACATGATGCCTCGATCGCGTTTTGATGGTGTCAACATGAGCGATCGCCAAAACTGATCAACTTCGTATGGTATCGCTTTTGGAGGTTCGCGATATCGCTTTACAGTGTCGGATGCCTGAGGATTTCTGTTGAAAACATAGCGAAAGTGAAGTGCATGAAAAGAACTAAAGTAAGAAAACGAAAGACATAATTAAATAACGAAAGAAAGACAAACAAACAAACAGAAAATAACAGAAAGAAAGAAAGAAAAAAAGAAAGAAAGAAAGAAAGAAAGAGAGAGAGAGAGTTTTCCATTGGCACAATAGCACTTTCTTTCTAGAGCTCTTCATCTGTGTCAAACTCCACAGGCACGAACGAAAATGATACGAAAGGGGATCCGCTCATCTAGACCACATGTTGATCATCCAGGGGTATCGCTTTGGTATAGCTTCATGTAAAGCGAAAACACATCAAATGATTGAAGATGATTGAAGTGTACATTGTGAAGGTATCGCTTTTGGGGGTTCACTGTATCGCTTTCCAGGATTGGATAGTCTCAACGAACTATATAGTTCCTCTCACATATATAAAGATTTGTGCACAGACCCTTTTAGGTCGTTGCTCACATGCTGATATGCAAATGGCGGATTAGGGTACAACGCGACAGCATAACAATGCTTCCATGTAGCAGCAGGGGCAATGGCTATTGCCCGGGTGTGCTTGCAAGGAGTTGCTTGTTCAACGGTGCATTTTGTGCAGTTGGGTGAATGGCAAGTTTGCAGGTCTGAGGTGCGCTTCGGCTGCGGTTTAGCTTTGATTATGTCCACGTGATGTCATGTTTGCATGCTGTCACGTTATGCATGGTGCCGCATGAGCTTGCCTTTATGGAAGTATACTGCCACCATAGCAACTTGCGTTTACCGTTTACAAACGTGGTGCGTGTGCAGCTGCGGTCTACCAACTTCCTGTGTATGTCTACAGTGCTATATATATATATAACTATAAATATATATATATATATGTATAATATTGAGTTCTTCATGGTCATTCTGTCGTGCAGTCATAATGAACGGGTGCGGATGCTTTGGCCTGGCACGTGGTGAGGCAAAAAAGCCTATGTACGATTATAGCGAATCAATTATATTCACTAAACACATATTGCAGTATAAGGTCATATATATAAAAGGTCAGAAGCTGTTTGGTCGTTGAACATGCCCTAATTTAGCTTTATACGTGGTTCGCGAGGAAGCCACTACAGTTGTGGTTGATGCATCTAAATTTTCAGTTTGAAGGTAGCGGAAACTAACTAGTTTAACTAATGAGTCATCTAATGTATCCAGTCAGGAGTCCTTTATGCAAATGTGGGGCTTCCTACGGTGAATTTCGTGCATTGCGGCCACCATGTGTAAGCGTGCTTCAATACTCTCTGCTCCAGATCTTTGCTTTACATGTTTTTAGATGTGTTGTGCTTGGGGTTGGATTGACACATTCATACCAACTTATTGTGGCTCTAGCCCCTAAACCATCCCCAATATGCAAGGATTCACATGCTTTGTTTGTGCCTATATTGGGGATGCAATTGTCATTGCCCCAACCCCACCCTCACCCTGCCAAAATAAGGGTTGCTTGCACAAGAACGATGTTTTGCATTGCGGGCTCTAGCTGGGGATAAACAGCAACGTCTTGCAAGCAAGGAACCAAATGCGGAAAAATTACAGAGGTATATATCTATCCTTTGTTTGCTATTGGGTTGGATTGCCGGGTTAATTTGACAGTTGGTTAAACGGTGCACCATTTGACTGGAATACCTTTTGCCAAAACACGATGGAGGAATTGGGGCGGTATAGTAGTCATAGTATTTGCTCAAACTCGCACTACCGCCACCACTTGGACTGTCAAACGTCTTGCACAGTTTCAAACAGTATGCATCTTGTCCTGGTTGTCAACAAGAGCAGTTCCTGGGCAATCCCAATTGTCCAAAAAATGTGGCAATTTCCCTCAGGAAACAAGTGGTAAGGATGCTACGTCTTGCTGTCTGAAGACATGGCTGCGCCATCAAGTACAACAGTTGGCTGCGTTGCTACATCAACGTTGGGAGCCTGCAAATAGACTGTGCTCTTCCAGCAAACAAAACCGAACACACGCATCCAGGACAGCCTCATCCTGTCCTGGCAAAGCCTGTGCCAGCTGTCTGAAGAGATTCTTGATGTTGGTGCCCATCTGCAACGGACTATTGTATGAAGGAATCTGCGCACTCCCTGAAGAGAGAAACCTGTCATGGAACTTTGGATGACAGTAATTAGCACACGGCTCCGACTGCTGACGCCTTGGCACTTGTCTCTGTGAACATTACACCATTCTCCTCCGGATCATTGCAAACACAAAAACTGCGCTTGTGGATACCGGCAAGTTCACCCACTCCTTCGCCTTCTCTTCACCTTCTTCCGTAGATACTTGCCGTCTGTCGGCTAAATCTGTCCTATTTTTTAGGCAAGGTGATCTGCTACAAGAACAACACATCACATTGCCAAGCATGAGTTACTGTGAGATAAATATATCTGGCAGTCTTGTTGCCAACCAGAGTGATGACAACATCGTTGCCCCTTTCGCTTCGGACGTCCTGCAAAGGGCAAAGTTGAACGGCCGAACTGCGATTGGTTTGATGGATGTGCGAGCTCCTCAATCCACTTTGATGTGTTGAGGAAGGACGCTCTGTTGGTGATGTCATACACCTGAGTAGGTCTGAACATGCTAGCCAACAAGTGCGCAAATTTCAGACTTAGGATCCTCTCCAATCAGGGTTCAGTGTCCTCAAGCGATTGCAAGATGCTATGTTATAATATGATGATATGTTCAACATCGCTGCAAATTAGCGAGGGGGGAGGTCCCCAATTGTAAGTTACAATTTCTGCGAAGCAGAAAACGCAAGGTAGGGTGCCTATTGGGTTCTCTTTTCAAGACCTCCACAAAAAAAAAGGGCCGCGGCGTAGCACAGGCAAAAACCCTTTGGTCTTAACCTAGGTGAAAAGTGAACTAGGCTGTTCCTGTACAAATAGTCACACCCCTCTCTGAGACAAGGGTTTGGTGAAACTCAAGGCGGAGGGTCAGCATTTGCTGACATCCAGGCGGTTCCACCCGCTCTGGATAGGCGGGGCTGCCCGCTCTATGGGCGGTTCATCCCGCTCCTGTCATGGCCAGCCTTTCCCCCTGCAGTATGAGCATACCTTCATTCGCCACACCCAGCGGTTGTCCAGGTTGGGGCAGTCTATCAGCAGGTGAGGAATGCGTCTTGGCTCTTGGCCAACCAGCAGCGCTTCATCCACACGTCTCCACCAGTTTCCTCGAGGATGATGCTCATAGCACCAGAAGCAAAGTTGCTCTTCGTGGATCTCGTCTGCTGGGACACGTTGAAGTCCCTGGCAGTTGCTGTACATGTGCACACGTCTGCCAGCCCTGGTGCAAAACGCCGACCGATCCCTTCGCATGGGGAACGGCTTCGCCTTAGGCTTTGGTTTGGGCATTGCCTTTGACTGCCCAGATGGGTGACTCCATTGACTCTCACGGCTCTATGACAACACCATCGGAGGAAGGCACCCACAGTGACGGCCATGGCTATCAGTCCGAGGAACATCAGAAACATGAAAAAGTCCAGCGCGTAGTTTGGTCTCCTGCAATTTCCAAGGCGTAGGCGATATAGACCGCACCATCTTGATGGCTTGATCGATGTGGGTGGCTTCCTGAATATGCCTCACGTCTACCATTCCCAATTCCACCTCTTTCCATGTCTTGGCATGTTTGGTCAGGAAGTTGCCAGGGTTGGCTGTTCTTTTGATCTTCCTGAGCTGGATCAGGCCAGCTTGAACTGTGCCTTGGACGTAAAATTCACACACCTCTACGCGCCTCAGCTTGGTGCCAGGCCGATTTGCTTGCTGGCGAGAATGGCAGTGGAGGAGTCCGAGTGAAGTTTTGGTACTTCAACAGGCAGCTTGAAGTCCATTTTGGCCAGATCGTGAACAAATCGCGCTTCCGGGCCGCTCGACTGCCCCCCCTTAGCTCAGCGTCTGGACTTGAAGTGGCCGGAAGCCCTGGCTGTGCTATTACCGCACCGGCCCGGCACCGGCGAGGATCACCACATGGCTGTCGGCGCTCCTCCTGGTCTCTGGACGTCCTGCCCAGTCCAAGTCAGAGTAGACCTCTAGTCTGAGCAGCTCATCCGTATTGCCTTTGTCAACTGTGGTGACTCGGACAAGACCACTGTGGCACTGCAAATAGCGTGCCAAGACTTGAGCGTTTTCCTATGTCCCTTCTGTCATCCCATCTTTCTCATTGCTCGAGGCAAGACCCATCCAAAACCACAGCAGGCTCCCAAGATGAGTCCGGTACTCTCCAAACTTACTCTCCCACTCTTGAAACTCTTCAATCTAGCCAACTCACACTAATGCAGTGCACTCCTTTGCGCCCTTTTCACTCACAGCGTCTGCTTTTGGTTTCTAAGGTGTCTGCTACGATGGCTTTGGGTATGCGAGGCGCAATGCTATATGGTTGCTTATATATATATGTGTGTGTGTAAATATATCCAGCTTATGTTTCCACAGTTCTTTGTTGTACCGCTGATGTGTTCAGGTACCACTGATGAGCAGAAACAATTCCAAGAATCAACTTACCTCCTTTCGTAAATTTTTGCACACGCAAGGTATTTTGGTTCGCGTGTGTTTGTTCCAAGATATTGAAGGTTTGTCATTGCTCCCCAGCGTTTGGGAATGCCATTGATTGTGAAGAGTGTAAAGAACTTTTTCGTTGACGGGTCTTGTGCCCGTCCTGAGTTGAGGAAGCTTCGACTCGCTGCATTTGCAGTTGCAGCTGTCACGGCTTCCGGTGACCCCAATCGCCTTTGTCAGTCGATTGAGATTTACGCTGGCCTTATGGCAGTTGCGCTGTGTCCTAACTCTCTAATTCACTGTGATTGTCCAGCGTTTGTGGCTCTCATTCAATGGCTTGTTATCCGGTAGACGCGTCCACTTTCACTTGTTGTTGTTGTTGGTTGTTGTTGCAGCTCTCCAAGTAAGGCCGCCCCCGAAGGGTGTCCTAATTTTTGTGTGGCAGGGGGAGCGCCCACACCTCTACCCCGGCCGGGGTGCCCGGCTACTACTACTTCCTCGTAGCACAGAACCCTTCTTACAACCCCTCGTAGCACGGAATCCTTCTCAAATGCCTCGTGAAGCAAGAGCCGTAGCGGTTAGTGTCTGAACACTAAAACAATTAAAGCGCCCAACCCTCCCGCACCACGAAATCTGCACCTCATCTCATTCCCTGCGCATGCCACTCATTTGCTTTGCACTTGAAATCTACACTGCGTACATGACCGCCACACAAGCCGACGTCCGACAAGCTCGGTATGTAGCAGAATGGGGGGTGGCCGCGACTACTTCTGCTACTTTTCCCAGTTCGAGGGGGGCCACGACGACGACGACTACTACTACTACTACTACCACCACCACTACTACGCCTACCACTACCACTACTACGACGACGACGACTACTACCACTACCACTACCACTACCACCACCACTACGACTACTACTACTACTGCTACTACTACTACCACTACCACTACCACTACCACTACCACTACTACTACTACTACGACTACGACTACTACTACTTTTTCCAGTTCGAGCCGGGGGCCACGACTACTACTACTTTCTCGGGGGCGTCCTGCTCCAAGTCCAACCCTCGAAAAGGCTGCTTCCCGAATTATACAAGTTGTGACGCCAGCTGGCGCTCCAGGCCGCCATTTTCGTTTGTTGTTTGGCGGTTACGTAGTGGTCACCTGGGGTCAGGCGCCGATCCTGGCATGTGATCGGGAAGTGTGTGACGGTGCAAGCATAGAGCATACAGTAAGAATGTTCTGCAAGGTACCCGTTGAATAATGCCGAAAGGTCGAACTCAGAATTTTACTTTATAAAGTCCTTCGGGACTGAGGGCATTTCCTTATTTTTTAGTGCAAGGTACGATGCAAAAACATGAGGTGTTTTTGCTTTATTAATTCTGGACTGAGGCGTTTCCTGGGACTGAGGTTGGGACATGTGACATGTTTATAAGACACCATTATGATTCATAATGAACCCTGTCATTGACCCTAACTAATCTTTTTTGATGCGAAGAAAGCTGTTTTTTTCTTCGCAGCATCTTCCGATCATCTGGTGAGAATGAACCGTCTGCACTGGAAGAATCTCTCTCACTCTGACTCTAATCGACCACAAATCACAATTATGCTGAAAGTGCCGGCCTTCAATAAGTGTACGAAAAGAACCCTTTCAGGAGCACCTTTCGTACCACTTATTTTTCACTACAGTTGCACTAACTATGCCTGCTTTGTGGTTCGCATTTCCAGCATTTGAAATCCTCAACGGTTTCGGGTATACACTGCTGGAAGGCACAATGCTAGACCCTATGTCTGGCGGCCCTGCAGGCCCACCCATCCTAGACCTTTAGAAGTTGGGGGTATGGAACATAATTAATACAATCCTACCTTGACCCTCAAGGACCTCCAAGTGGAAAAAAAAACCAGCCATTTACTGTATAGAATCCTGTGTCTGACCTACCATGTGGTCTTTTAAGTCAGTCATATCATGATTTAACACACTTTTCTGAAATTCTGGACCAAGGTTTTTTTGGGGGGGAATTCATGATACTGTATGTTTTTCTTGTTATGCAGTCCTGGACGTACGTGATTTACAAAAAAAAACACCTTTGCAATATATAGTGTGGCTGAGCTACCCGATTTTAAATTTAGTATGGATTGCCGGACGGGTATTGCAACTGTTCTCTTCTGCACGTCTTCCTGCAGTTTAATTCCAACAATGAAATCAACGTGTTCCAATTTCTTGTCTATTCCCACATTTTTGCATGCCACCACATTGCTTCACCAAAAGCAAAGCAGCATCAATCATCAGCCCACAGTTTGCCTGTCCGCAAAACCAGTATACCTAGCTCCTAGTAGCGCCTGAATGCAAACATAGTGACATGATGTCTCGCCTGCGCAAAGACTCTGTAGGTCTGTCCCTGAGCACCGTGCCACAATTGCTCCGGAGGAATCCCGAATGTAGCTTGGGATAAGGCTGCGAAAGCGCTCCTCAAACGCCCAGAAAGAAGGAAACCAACCAACACACACACACACCAAAAAGACAACACACCAAAAAGAAAAGAAGTCACGTCTAGCTGATGCTTGATTCATGAGCAAGTCTTATTCGCAGTCTTCCCAACACGTTTCAGGCCTGCCCTGCAGTGTCCCAAAGTTGAAGCCTCACCGTTCTGTCCTTCACAGGCCGGAATTGTTTCGGGGCAAGATTCGGCTCAGCGTCTGCTGTTGCAACTTTTTTCCATTGGAGTTTCTGATTTGGGGTATTGGTTGACTCTTAAGTTTCTGCAACCTAGTCAGGCCCCTCCAGGACTGGTTGGCCACACTGGGATTTACCATCATTGTTATGTCGCCCTCTTTGAAGTCTGGGTCGATCTAAATGATCAAATGATCGTTGAACTGGCCGAACTCTGCAGGGTCTACTGGCGATGCCTCTTCCGGATTTTGGCAACCCATGATTCCTTCCCCAAATGCTTTTTGAAAGGTGGCCAGGGATGACCTCATCACCGTGCGACTGGTTTAACTTGATCTAGACCCACACCATGTCACACAAGTCTTGATGACTTTGATTGTCAGTGCTTGGTATGGGTGGGACATGCTGATTGGGAGGCTTTTTCATCATAGTGTGTCACTCTCGTTTTTCGCGCGTGATTATCTTCTCTGCGAGTGAAGTGGTATCCTTTCACCACCAGTGAAGCGCTAGGTGCTTAACGTTGATGACTGGCAGGCTCTGCTGCTGAGGTGAGGTGATCCTTGCTGAATGATAAATACCATGCCCCACCCTTCCAGCCGTACCCTTGCTCTGCGGGCCCTTCAGCTATCTTATCCCTCTCATCTCAGAGACGAACATAGTTGAGCTCTGGTATTGCGCAAGCTTTTCGGGTATTGAGATTCAGGCGGTGGAAGGCTGTGTTTGTTGCTAGCTGCTAGCTGCTAGATATTGCTTTTTGCTCTGGTTGCTTTGTTGCGTACACCATCAAGGGCTGAGGTGTTGCCAAACGACTGACTCGGGTGGCTGTCAAAATGGTCAAGGTGGAAAAGTCACAATGCCTTCCGCTGTAAAAGAGCCACACGCACAGGAAAACGTTTTTTCAATGCCCATGATTAAAGTCAAATACACATCCAGGAACAACACCATAATAGATTCCATACATTTAGGATTTATATAACTACAAGTCTTATGACAAGGCTCCAGCAGGCTCCAGCGTACTTTGATTCAGGAGAAACACCAATCCTGCACATGGTTTTTGTCTCGACCATGGCCGTCCTCCAAATACATAGTTTTGCTCAAGAAATCAATACCGATGGTCGCCTTTTGGCAAGCACCAGTTCACAGCCATGAATTTGAGATTGTCAGATGAAAGAACACTTGATTCTTTCCACACCTGGTAGTTGTTGTCAAAGGTGTCGTACATAAACCGAGTGATAACCTGAGCTGCCCCTTTCAAACTTGGGGATTGGGTGGAATGTGGACCAAGGAGTATGGTACTGACGAACATCTACCCACATGTTGCATATCTGCGTCGACCAATTGTAACATTTGCATGAATCTCACTTCACAATACTTTGCACAAATAATTTGTTGTGAACCATGGCTGAAAGCAAACCAAACGCTGTTGTGGACACAGCTCCTGACACTTGAGTAGCCCGAGCTCTCTGAGTGGCTTACTGACGTCTTTCCCACGGCTTGCTCTCCGAGGAATACGAGCTTGTACTGCACATGCACAAACAGCACTGACTGTTGAGCCGACACTGTTGGAACAAACCACAAACATGGCTAAGTGAGGAACAAAAGCCGTCGCCTTATTGAGGCCGGTGACCCGGGCCATACCTGGATCTGCCATGGCGAGCTTTCTGGCTACCTTTGCGAAGGAGAGTTTGAATCCTGAACCAAGTTTGAGTCATGCAGATTGGCGAAGTCAACCTCCAAGTCTTGGAAACCGGCATGTTTGAAAAACGTTGGAAAACAATCGGTCTTCAATGCAACTTTCTATCATATGATGCGAAGGTCATGGAATGCCGTGTGCATGACACGGCAAGCCGCAAAAGCTGATCTTGAGTTTTGCAATTGCACCGTCAAGTCAACTGTGTTCCGAATGTTCTCCAGTAGTGTTCTGTTGACCCATGCAAAAGGCTTCCCAGAATTTCAGCTCAAAACTTTTTGGTGCATGGCCGAGCTGATCTGTCAGCTTGCCAGCCTGAGGCAGCACCGGAGAATGCTGAGCAAATATCCGCTTCTACAAATGGCTTGAGGACATGTACGTACTGCGTGGACTAATTCTTGGCTAAAGGCCAACGTCACGCCATGGTTGTAAATTGAGATAGAATTTAGCAGAACCACCAGCTCAACAGTCTTAGTAGGTCTTAGCCTCTGGAAAAACACTCCATTTCTTTCTTTCCTTAGACTCAAGAACCTGAGCCTGAAGCTCCAGAAATTTGCATTGCAGTCGACTGCAAACCCCCAGAACAAATGCTTTACTTTTTTGCATTTTGTGTCCATATACAGTAGAGTCTATACAGTCTTGGCATGCCTTGGCAAATGCATGCAAAGGCTAGTTTCTCAGAACTCTGTTCAGCAAGTTGTTCCTTTGTATTGAGCAGTGGCGGAGAACGAACACAATTGAACCAAGAAACGCACCTTGAAATCCAGCATGCCATCTCAAACAGGCTCAAATCCACAATTGGCTTCAAATAGCAAGTTCTCAATTGGCGCCTGTCACTGCCAAAAATGTGTTATTATATGGGGGACATGGTGCTGGAGCGCTGAACAGGTTTTGAAGGCAGGGCGGTTGATGTCAGAGTGCCACGGGTGACTATTGTGGTTGAATATTCTTGACTATATAATGGCCGTGGTCTGGCAAGCAGCCGGCATCCAGCCTTAAATGTGCTTTCGGGATCTTCCGAGATACTTAGATAATCTGAGATACTACATGGAATGATAGTGTATGCCATGCACAAATAAAGAAGCACCATTCGACAGGCTTGTCAGCGTTTGCGACAGGTATATAGAGGGCACCAACGACTCTGTGCGACACAACTCCCTACGGTTCGAAGAATCAAGGCGGAGAGGGGGGTCACCGTCACCAGCAGGTCCGAGTCCTTGCCTGTTAAGAGCATTGGTCCTGGCAAAAGGGCACTTCTTGATGACACAATCTGTAAACCAAACAAACACTGTGGAGCCTTCTGGAGGAGCCAGTCTGGCACCTCATGCGGCATGCACGCTGTGAGGACAAACCACTTTAGGCCATGATTCATGACATTTGTGGCATCATTTGTTTTGGTCAGTACAGAACTCATCAGAGTCTGAAAAGTCTGGACAGCATTCATCTGAGTGTCCAAACCCAGCCCTCTCTCTGGCCAATGACTTGCGGATTGACCCTGGCCACCCAGGTCCAGCCAGACCTGCACCCACAAAGTGAGAGCGCAAACACAAAACGGATGGCAAGTCAGAACTCAACACCAGTAAATCATTCTGCCTAAGGTATGCCTGTGCACCTTAGAACATCCCATCCACTGCGGAGCGGACGGATCCTTCTGCTTGACGTAGACCAGCTCTCCCTCCTTCACCGACAGCTGAGCAGAATCTGATGCTGCATAATCTCTTTCCACCTGCAAAGCGCGAAAACATCAAAAAATCTATATAACCTGTTCCCGCACGACCGACAGGTGTCAGTGCTGTCAGTGCCGCAAATGTTGTCAGCTGCACAAGGCATGCTGCATTGTATTCCGACTTTGAAGTCTACCAAAGGAGGTTGGAGGCCATCGCTACTAGTAACAAGAAGCTACTAGGTTGGAGGCCATCGCTACTAGTAACAACTTGTTTGAGTTTTGTTTGGCGACAGTTATCCTGCGGGGCCTTCACAGAGCTAGAAGGCGGCGCACTTGGTGGAGGTGATTGCTCTGGAGGCGCATGTTGATGTTGCGCCATGAGGCAATGCCTCAAATGATTCGCGGCAGTCTCAAAACTGGCTCTAGTGACTAGTGACTCTATTAATGTACACTAATATTAATGTGATTGGCTTGGACTTCATCAATATTAGCTGGGTTTCTTGCGTTGGGAACCAGCCTTGCCGTCTCTCTGACAGCAATTGCCCAAACGCCCAACCATGAGCCGCAACCTGGTGCCACGAAGTTCCAGCATTGCAGGTTTACATGCTGACTTGGATCTGGAAATTTCCCAATCATTAAACACTGTGGCACGCTAGAGACATGCAAAAATGTCCATGAGCCACCACCAGGTTCTGACACCTATATAAACTTGGTGATGCGTCGTGCCTTCGATATACATGCTGAGCCTGAACTGAACACGAAGAGCAATAGACACATTCTGTTCTAACATGACTACAGCGGTACGAGTATCTTTGCGAAAGGCCAACGAGATTTTTGAAACTTGTTAGCCATCACGAAAGATTTGAAGGGATGAACACACGCGACAACTATTCATGCGTAAGTGCACATCAACATACAAACTTGAGTACACTGCAATGTAAGTCTCTCACAAACAAGCCAAGGAGTGCTATTTTGAGATCAGTCGGATCATATTACTATATAACACTTCGGACGTTCTTTTCTTGTTCCAAGTTTCTCCTCATAATAAAACTTTCGTTACTATTCCAACATATTCAAACTCTCCTGGACTCCTCATGTGCAAACACACCTTCACATGATCACGTCCGTCTTCTGGCCCTCCAATTCAGAACTCTGTCTTTTGCATTCTTTTACTTTGTCACGCCTCAGCAAGATCAAACTTGTCCACTCGCGAAGGTCAATCTGGGTGGCTTTGTGGCAGCTTAATGTCTAATCCCACATCTTCAAGTGGTTTAAAACCTGATAGAAACCACGAACACCAATGCACACTTGCACGCCAACACACAGGGCCAAACGTTCTTTGACACTCTTGCTTGACACTCTTCAAAGACGGACATTCTGGGGTGACACTTGGTGTCACACGTTTTGCTATTTTTTTGCTTCACACTCTTGTGCATGACTCTTCAAGGATGCTCTTGTGGAACACGTTTGTAGGGCACTCTTGTGAAACATGTTTGTGGGACACTCTTGTAGGACACTCTTACGGGGCACTGTTGTCGGACACTCTTACTCTTGTGGAAAGTTTTAGTAGGGCACTGCCTGTAGAAAACATTTGCCACAAAGGGCCCTCTTAGGCAACTGTAGCTCTTGCTTCCTATCACCAATAACTGCCCCAAGCCAACACGGTATTCTCTGCCGCTGCATGGCGTTTCATGTGTGGCTGAGCGCCCGCGTCTCAGTGATGGAGAGTCAATGGAGAGCCTGCCACCTTGATGGCGGCGCCAGGCTGCTTCCCAGCCCTGTTCAATGTGTAATAAAGCTGCAAAGCCGCCAGGCCCAAACAGTCGCAGTGCATGAGCCCAGTAATCTGCTCGGGCAGGCCGCGCAAACAGCGAGTCACCGTGAAAGCGGCAACTGGCCGTGAAAACGGTAAATGGCCGTGATAGTAGCAATTGACCGTGAGCTAATGAGCTAGCAGAAGACCGTGAAAATTAGCAACTGGCCGTGAAAGCCCAAGTGGCCGTGAAGCCCCTAGAAGTGACCTAAAATTTTCCAAAGTGTGTACGCGAGAGGTAGGACCATGCTTTTTGTGATCGAGTGGTTCTGCAAGCGCCAGATCGCAGTGGGCACTGCCGGACCCCAACAGCAAGCGCCAGATCGCAGTGGGCCGGGCACTGCCGGACCTCAACAGCAAGCACTAGATCGCAGTGGGGTCAGCCTAAATAAGAAGCCCCAGTGGCCGCAGCCTTGGGAACCATGGAAAAATCGCTCATGCCCAACCGCCACAATTCCAAACCAAGGATTTTGGTGGATGTGATAGACCATCTTGCAAACCTGGCAATTTCAAAGTATTTGTTAACAGCGCGCTGTGGGTACGTATACGGTATATATACACTGCGCGGCGCAAAGAGGGTGGCCTGCTGCACAACCACTTCTTCGCCAACATTCAAGCTGAGCTGATTTGAATCCTTAGGACCACGCATTCTACACCCAGGCTTTACTATGCCACAACTGGGCGCCGGACAGAAGCAACGTGACCGCAACTAACGGTATGCTTGCCGTGGAACTGGGACACATAAAAAGCAAGTGCAAACCCATCACTTGAACCCATTGCTCCCGCTGCTTGTTGCGTTCATGAGTCCATGAGTAACTGAAATAAAATGAAATAAAACTTAGTCCGCCGCGTCGCTCTGAACCTGTAGGCCAGTCGCCAAAGCCCCACTATATCCCTCACTAAATGCCCGCAACCCCCCTTCTGTTTTACCGGAAGCGCGGAAGCCATCGCATATTGGAAGATTCCATGAGGTGGTCTTTGCGGTCGTTTGCTTACGGGTGAGACAATAAGTGCGCAACGGGCGCGCGTCAGCTGGAGTATCTCATTTTGGGTGTCGACATACGTCTAAGCATTGCCCTATACTCAAAACCTGGAGCATGTTTCAAAGGTGGGCCAAGCGCACGCCCGCCCGTTTGCGCAGAAAGGCCTGTTTCTCGCGCGAGATTGTTGGCGTCACGTTTGGCCTCGACACAACTCACTCCCCTCAACGCTTTTTTTCTGTTCAGGTTTGGTCAATTGCTTTGACGTTGGATTGCATACATAGATTGGTCTTTTCGCGCCCGTCTTTGCCACGCTGTATGGAAACTCATTGAACACTTTTTGCCTCACTACGACGGGGGCGGCTTTGCTTCTTACATTTGCTCTTGGGTATTTTTGTTTTGGGGAGGGAGGCTGGTGCCCTGCGTTGCTGAAATAAGCAGTGTGTTTTGCAATGTGATTCTCGCTCCTTACACTTGTGGTCTTGTTGCTAATTATGTACTGGCTGCCACTCTTATGTTGGGATGTCAAGTTGGCTCCAGGAAGCATATCCTAAAAGCTTTTTACATGTACCTTGCTAGTCTGTCGTAACCCCTTCTCGTTTACCTCAATTGCCAATCTCGTCGAAAGGTCAAGGATATTTTGATCTCTTAAAGCGATACTTTATGGTTTCGGTCCATTTTGCTCCAAGCGTAAACAAATTGGCGCGCCCACTGGACATCATCAATAGTTCATCAACATCCTTGGAACACACTTTGCCATTTGCCAGGCGCCACCAACAACCAATGACTTAAGACGACTTAAGCTTCCTGGCTGCTTCGGCCAGAAGCTTCAATGAAGCAATGCACCCTCTGGCTGCTTTGGCCAGGAACATTGTTTTCTTTCACTGTGCATAGCTTAGATGTCAGCATCACTGGCTGCTTTCGGCAAGGGCGCAGGCAGTAGTAGTTTGACTAGGTGTCTGTGAAAACAGGGCGCGGGAGCTTTGCAAAAAGGTCTTTTGGACCTCTCAAACCGAGATCGGGGAACGTTCTTGAATCTCCTCAGGAAAGGGATTGCAGGACTATTTCAAAAATACCTTTAATCACTTTAATCGGTAAGGGTTCCCGAAGCAGTCCTTTTTCATCCCTCTCCGTTCTTGAATCTTGTAAGGAGCCTGCTAGTTAGCAAGCTCAAAAAGCGAAACTCGTCGTTCTACCGTGTTTGCGTTCTTGGTCAAGCTTCTTGAAAACACGCTGCCGGTTCATCCAGAAGCGCAACATCGAACATACAGTAACGAGTCGACAATCGATGAACAATAGCCGATGAATCGAAACGAGAGTCAAGAACAGCAAGTTGAGGATCTAGAATCAAATAGAACATCGACATTCGAGAACCCACACTCGCACTTGTCAAGCCGAGTCTGCAGCGTTTCTTGAGTCCTGCTCCATCGAGCTGCTCCCACACGCGCGCGCGCATCGGGAACGTTGCACGGCTTTAAGAAGGCGCCCAGCTCGCAAGGGTAAGGGTTTTTGTTTTTGAGGATGTGATGGCCTGCAAACTCCTAAAAACAGGAGCCGCGTCCGCAAACAGGGCCGGCTTTTCTAAGGTTTGGCGAAGCCTTCCTCACCCGAAATCAGCGAGGCAGCGCAGGAGCTTCCAAGTGTCAAATCTCTTCGAAGCAAATATCAGTGCTTTGTATTCTTGCTGGCAAGTATGTAAGTGCGCTGCTCTTGGTATATGACATGACGTGATATATATATATATACATATATGTGCGTGTGAGACCTGTTTGTTGGAAATAATATCACATGCTGGTGTTTCTCCAACGTTCTAGATATAGAATATGGTCGTCACTAAAGATGATAATCCAATAATGATGTAACAGGTACAAATTATATAGTTGTTTGAATGTCTTGCATTGGTATGTTTATCGTCTATGTTTATTTGAGCTAAACTGATTGGCAAAGGCTTCAAACCAGGTGCATTCTGCTGAGCTGAAAGAAACTTTCACCACGGTTTTGGTATGGGAGAAGGGGCTGTTTGCACGACTTGCAATTTGTTTTCCGACACAGACTGGTATTTCCCCAACTATATAGTTTCTCTGCAACACTGACCACCAAAGAATTGTGTGTTTTCTGTCATGTGCCTGCCAGGGGGGGCCTCAATACTGCATATCATCCCCACAGAAACATAGACCTCAACATGTCAGGGTCATGCCGTGATTACATAAATCAACCAATAACTTTGCCAGTCGTTGAATTCTTGTCTCGCCTTGTCTTCCGGGCGCGTTTAGAAGCTTCCCCTTCTTTCCCCTCTTTTTTGCACTATTATCTTTTGCGTCCGCTCTGCAGCGTAAACCTTGTTTTGTCTGGGGCAGGTGTCTGTTCTATCTAGGCGACCAACCATGCCAATGGTTGCACACTTGCAACCCTTAATGATCAATAATGTCAAGGCGATTTACACCTTGATCAATCTTGACATGGTGATAGCCTGTGGTCAAGACTGTGGGCCTCGACGACTATCTGGCGGTCACGTCTATAATGTTTCATCAATGTGAAGTAGATTCTGTTGGTCCAAGTATATAGATGTCTAATAACCAAACAATATAGACAAATGCATGTTTGGGTAGTGTTGCATTAAATAATGCTCGGATGACCTTCAAGTGTGGCCGAAGGGGACATCGCCGGACGTCGCATAAACCCTCTTGCTGATTTGTTTGTGATCTTGATTGTCTTAAAACCAGGACTAACTGGAGGAAACACTTGGCCATGAAGAGGAGCACCGCAGGAAGCATCCCAGCCTTGTTCGACTGTGAGCACTGGGCCTTTGAACATCAAAGCTGTTCTCTCTGTCTCACGGAGTCGACATGTCAATGCTTGGGAATCGACAACTTGCGTTGACTGCAGAGCTTTCATGGTCTCAGTCCTGGTAGCTTCTCCGATTTGTGTATTATTCATGTAAATAAGCATGTACAAACACACATATATATATATAAACCCATTATATTGCAGCATTGCATTGATTTGCAAGGACAATACATGAGCGATGTAGAAGACACTTGCGCGCCCCACGCCACCGTGAATGGCACTTTGTTCATAATATAGTAGTCAGCCTGTCTGTCTCTACAGGCCGTCCCCCAGCCAAAGCCAAGGCCTCACATACAGGACAGCATGCAGCAGTGTTTGACGAGAACATTACATTTTTTCTACATTTTGTTTGTGACTACCCGCATTGCCTCTTCAGACAAGTGATCTGATGGAGCCATCTGGCCAGCAAGCACGGCATGTCTGACGCACAGCTCCTTGGCTGTAGTTAAGGGAAGGCACATCTGTGCAAACCCACAGTAAGGCATGGACTCTGCGCTGCAGCACAGCCAAGGCTTTCTTGGCTTGCTCAGTTGTGGCAAAGCGCACCAACCTTGTGCCAAGACATTCAATGCAAGTCCAAAACACAAGAACGAATGCATAGCAGTTTTCTTCAATCTACTGCAGATTCTCCTTTGCATCTGGCGCATCTTGAGCACCTACTCTCGCCCCGTCCACCTGCAGTGACTGCAACTTGTCCGTGGCAACCCCGTTAAAAATGTTTCATGTTGCATGCATGCTGGATTGGGGACACAAGAAACTGCAAAATGAGATCCAATGTATTGCTTTCTGTTGTTCTGTCTGTCACTCAAGTCTTTCAGTTAAGCCCACCTCTGCAATCGGCCGCAATGCCTCCTTCAAGTCGTCCCGAGAAATCAAACGCCTTGAACGATTCCCTTATAATATAGTTATTAAAAATCAATGCATGCCGTGCTTCATACATGGCTGTGGATCAAAACCCGGACCCCTAATCCCTGGAAGGTTGACCATGTCTAGTAGTCCATTCTGTTTATTTTCGGTGGTCAACTCGGGTAGTCTGGTTTGGGGCCACAGCCACATATTGCATAGCTTAACATTTGTCTTCCTTGGATCATCTATTTGCTTTATGATCTTTACGCCACTTCAGTTGAAGTGTTCCTTGCTGTTGAAGTATCTCAGTTTCCTGCTGCGACTCTGCCAGCCCTGTGATGTAAACAGTCCGCAACGCCTTCCCGAGCAGCTTCTCTTCCTGGAAACAAGCGAGTCAATACAAGTAGCCTGTCAGTTGGACATGGTACACTGGCGTAAACACTCGGAAGTCTGAAAGTGCACTGCAGTCGTCCTTGGGAGTCTCAGCCTCACTCGTAAAGACTCTGATTGCTGGTTACTTTGTACGACAACACCGCCTCCGCAGCCGCCGACATGCTGTCATCCAGGTCCTGTCCAATTTCCACACAAGTCAAACATGGTCTTAAATGAGTTTGATTCGGACTGCCAAAGCACAAACAGCTGGATGCAGCACAGTTTTTTCGCACCATTTTGCAATCAGTAGCTGGCCGCATCAATTGGTTTCACTCTGGTGGACCGGTAGTTCAAGACTTGTTTGCATCGCCTCTGTTTCCTTGCTCTCAAGCATGTCAAACTCGCCTTGCAACTTCAAAGTGTTTCGAATGTCATAGATATTATTGATGCTCATGGAATGTAAAAACCATTCAACAACAATTTAATAGTCCAGTATTGGGATGATGCACTCTGCAGTACTCCAAGTCTCCCTCCTGGATCGGTTTCTTGCGCTCGTTGAACCCGACCCTCTGAAAACTTCTCGGCTAGGCGCGAGAGCTGCTCCGTCTGATGCCTTTGGCAAAATAACATCGGAAGGTTTGTAGGGAAAAACAAAGTCGTTACTCACAATAATCCCTTCTTGCACATTTCCGAGCACTTTTTTGAGCTTCGAACTTTGTGAAAATCGAACGAATCCTGTGGAAAACTAAATGTCATTGCAAAATATTCTGAATCTACACAAACCCCATTGATCCATTATAAATCACTTTAACCCGGTCTACAGTAATCTCCTGTCGACATTGACATCTTTGACCTCGCCAAACGAGCGCTCAATTGGGATAGGTATACAGTTCTAGGCGCGATCGCAGCATGGCGCAACATTTTGCAGCATTGACATGCACGCCCTGGGGCCATGGCCTTTATCTCGTCCCCCAACCTGGAACCGGCCCAAGCTGTGAAGCAATATTGAACAACTGCCAGATTGACTCAAACTGCGCAGCTGGCGGGAGCAGAGTTTTGCCAAGTTGAATGCCCCGGCTGAGGACTCGCATGATTCTCTCCTCACAAAGATCATCTCATGCCGAAATGTTGGCTACGAGTCAAGCTCGTATAAGTTCTTCAAGTTTTGACTTGTCTTCGTCCAACTGAAGTTCAGGATTGGATGGGAAGTCACAGAAAATGAAGATGTAATATAACTCTATATGACCCGAATAGGAGAGGTGAGTTTTTGCAAGCTGGCAGGCTGGCAGTTATTTTGAACTGCTAAGGGGTTGTGGTAGCCTGCACCCTGCGTGAAATGCATCTGCGGTCAATACGCGCAATTCAAGTGTTGCTCGACTTGCAACCCTTACACGGCCAAAAAATGTCGCACAGCCGTGTCCGGTCCGGTTGTTCAACCTGGCACGAATGCTATCCGGGTTTAGAAGTCACGTCGCGTCCTTCCAAATGAAGGTTGCGTGGGCGCAGCTCTTCTTTGTCTTCCTGCGGTTGGCCCAATCCGTGTCAGAGTAACCAGCTTGGTTGGGCAACCGCGCGCAAGTCCTTGGCGCCTTGGCATGTACATACTTTTTTCTCTCACGACTACTGGTTGCGCGTTGGCTCTGGGTCGTCCACGCCTTCATTGCTCGTTGCCTTTGCAAGCTCTTCGTTCTTCCTGACTGACTTGTCTTGAGCCTTTCTGGAAACAACTTTTAAGCTCTGCCACCACGCTTTTGAGCCATTGTATTGCAGCGTTGCACTTGAAATGCGGAGTCTTGCTGCTCCGCGCTCCGGCTTGCTCACGACCTTCTTGGTGACAGGTTCCGTAACTTCGCCCCCGCCGCCCGAGCTGAGCAACGAAGGTCAAGGACTTAGTGACCTGCCAGGATCGGACTGTAACGTGCAGGGCTCATCAAAATCAACCTGCCAGGTCTGTGGTCTCCACGAAACTGTAGTCCAGCCCAATTTGTCTCCTGTCGGCCCGCTGCCTGCAAGGCGCGGCCCCTGGCTCGCGCGCCAAGGGGCTGGAGGCAGGTGGGCGATGATTCCGACATCGTGGTTCTCGACGCCTTTAGCGTCTCCGTAGGCCGCACGATCTCCGCAGAGGCAATTATTGTCCAGGCCCATTACAACGATTTGCATATTTGCATCCGACGCCGTGATCTCCGCGAAGGTTCGTGAGCGTTGGCTGAGCCACCCCGCCGCCGAAGTTGTATTGTATGCGTCTTGACTTCTACACCTGCATCTCAACACCTGTATATCTGTATATCTTTAAACAAGTATCTACCGGTGGGTGTGTTGACACAATTGCGTTGCCCGCATCTCTACACCCTGATGTTGACGAGGAGGAGGAGGGGATGACGAGTGTGCTGACGATGGTGATGATGGCGACGACGATGATAATGCCATGAAGATGATGACGACAGTGAAGATGAAGAAGATGAAGAAGAAGAAAAAAAAATGATGATGATGATGATGATGATGACGGAGATGGTGGCGATGATGATGATGATGATGATGATGATGGTGATGCATAATGATGATGATGATGGTGGTGGCAACGACGACGATGTGATGCTAAATGATGTTGGTGGTGGTGATGATGATGGGTGGACAGTTGAATCAGTTGAAGTTGGCGTTTGTTCTTTTCGGAGAACCCTTCGTTCGCAGTAGAAAAGGCTGAACAAAGCTTGCACTTGCGTCCTATGTTTGAGACTTGGCGCGCGAACTCTTCAAGAACGCCGGAACCTGTACGTCTAGAGCAGCTATAGGGCGCCACTGTAGCCCCACACCATCCTCAACTAGATCCTGAGCAACTTCGCTCGCGAAGCAACATCGTCCGGAATTTCTTGCCCGGGACACTGGACACTGTTGTGAAGTCGAGAGCAAAAGCGCGGGGATTTGCAGTTCCACTAGAAAACGCACATTAAATGACACTTCAAGACACCAGCGCGCCACTCTGAAGAGGTGCGTTTTTTTTAAAGTGATGCTGGCTGCCAAGCGAACGAGGAAATCTTTTTCGGGTCCCGGCGCTGGCCAAACACAAATAGTAAGGATATGTAATGATAACATTCAAGCCCAACGTGGAAAGTGGAAACCGATCGTTGAAGCCACGGCCCCACGCTTCAAAAAAAATGTAAAAAAAAAGGACCGGATAACCCCACATGATAAGTTTTACAAATTTCAATTGTATATGAACATCACATGGGAGACGGAGTAGTGAGATGAAAAGTCAAGAACGAAGTGTGAGGAGAGAAGGTATATGAGGCGGTTGTGCTGAGACGTGTAGTATAAGTGATGATGTGATGGACGAGGATGAGAAGGAGGGGAGGGAGGAGGTGTGTGTGATGAGAGGGACGAGAGAGAGAGAGAGAAGGAGGCGGAGAGAGAAGTTTGGAGGCTCTGGATTTTGCGATCAGATCCGCATGAGACCTTCAAAACGTAACACACTCGAAACGACCATCAAAGCTATCAAGTGGTCTTATCCCGACCACGGCGGGCAGTGCTAGCAGGATGTAAAGTGGAGTGAGTGAGTGGAGTGAGTGAGTGGAGTGAGTGAGTG